AAGTTCCTGCACTGATTTGCTTTTGTTTTTTTTTAAAACTGTAAATTCCTCAGCTGGAGTTCACATCTTATTTCCTGCAGAGTCCTAGCAATCAGTCCAGAGTTTTTGTACTAGAATAGGCATTAAATAAGAAAGGAAGTAAACTAACATTGATTGAAGTTAATATAAACATATTAACAGACTAACAGACTAAACAGACTGTAGCTCTGAATGAAAACTGAAGACATATGCAATGTTGCTGAGAAACGCTTTAGGAAATTTATATGATGCATCAGGTTATGTGATAAATGGTTGACTATATAGTGATAACAATGAACTTTGTAATCATACTCGCTATGACATATATTGATAGGGGAGCATATATATTAGTTTGAGTCTCTCTCAAGCTATGCTAATGTAGTATTTTACTTTTGCTCAGATCATTTTAAAATATCTGTTATGAGAATCTGCTTAAAAGTCACACGAGAAAATCAACATAATTACTTTTTAACCAGATTTCAATTTTAAACCCCAAAGTTACTACTTAATCATTACTCATCAACTTTTTTATCTGCCATGGTGCAAAATGACCACTGATCACTTTCTATAATCAATCACAACATTAAAGTACAAAGATTTCCCAGTCTGATGATATACAGGAAAATAAGATACAGAAATAATGTGTTTGGAAAATAATTCCAAAAGAAATTCCCAAAGATATAATCCCAATAGCAACATTTCTAGTAAAGACAGACATAAGATATTTATTGGAATATAGTGACAATCATATGAATACTTTTTCCTCTACTGCCATCCCTTATATACTCTTGATCTGTCATTTTTCCTCTTAACCTCAGCCACCTCACTTTATTAATGTCCACAGGTGTTTTTTTTTTTTAAACTTTGTCAAGTCATCTGCTATGTAAATATCAAGTATTTGTCCTTGTCATTCCACCTTGCTTCACTACACCATAAGCCTCTTAAATATCTTCCATTTTGCTTTAGATGGTAGCACTTTGTCTTTCCTTCTGTCTGAATACTGTCTATTGTGTGGACAAACCACATCTTTCTCCAAGCCTATCAGTGGGCACTTAGGTTGTTTCCATTTCCTGACTATTGTAAACAGCACTGCAAGAAACAGCATAAAGCATACACAGTTCTTTGGATTGATGTCCAAAAGTGACACTGCTAGTTTACATAGTATTTCCATTCTAAAGAAAATCCAGATCGCTTTCCTTAATGACTACCATACTTTATATTCCTACCAACAGCATATGAGACGTCCTCTTTTTCCACATTCTCTCTAGCACTACTTTCTTTTTTTTAATTATGTGCCTCTTTTTTTTTCTTTTAAAGAATGTGCCCATTCTCACAGATGGGAGACAATATCTCTTTTGTAGTCTGAACATAGACAATGTTTTAGAGATGTGTATAAGAAATTTAAGGCACCAATGGTTTTTTATACTGAGTGGGAAAATGATTCTACTGCTTTTCTGAGAGGCTGGGGTAAGACCAATGACATGGAAGTCATCAGCAGTATGGTAACTGGAGTCAGGCATTCACCCAGCAAGTAGTTATTTAGTGAGAGTGAGTGAGAACTAGCGGTGATTGTCAGCAGAGTCAGAACACAGCTTTCAGGTCAGATGTGAGACGGTAGGTGCTGCCCAGACCATGGGGTGGGAAACACATGTCTTTATTTGGTGACCAAGTGTCTGCTTTTTGCAATCATGTGACAATGACCTCATATTCATATATGTCAGACATGAACTAAAATCTGTGGATGATTTTCAACTTTATTATTAATTTTGCTCTGCTCTTGGCAATACCTGTGCAAATCATGTATGAATGTAAGTCCTCACAGGATTTTCCAATGACATTTCCAATGCCAGTTATGATACTTTTGGAATAAGAAGCAAAATGCTTCACAAAAAAGTAGTTTATACAATGAGGATGATTATTTCTTTCACTGAATTAGAGGTCCAGAGGTATCTATGTTCAGGGTCAGTCAGCAGATAAGCAATGATAAGGAGCTGAGCCATCTTACTCTCGTTAGCTGCTAACCTCAGCATGTTAGTGATACATTCATCAAGGGCAAAATACCTCCATGCATGGCTGGTACCTTCAGGTGGGAACAGGACAGGAAAGTCAGGCTTTATGACTCAGACCTGCTATGTCTCTCTCTCACTCTTTTTTTTTTTTTTAAGAGTTATTTATTTATGCATACAAGAGCTGGAGTGTAGGGCAGAAGTGCAGGGTGGTGGGAGGTGGTGGTGAGAGGATTCACAAGATACAGAGTGCAGAGCAGAACAGGCACATTGATAGTAATACACTGCTGAGGGGAGCAGCGGGTGAGACAGGAGAGGTCTGCTCTGCCATATGGGTCAGCTCTCTGGCCAGGGATCAAACTTGTGCTGCAGTGGCTGCCAATAGCTTCATTCATAGTGCTGAGGCTTAACCCCTTGCACCACTAGGCAGGCCCTCTCTCTCTCTCTCTCTCTCTTTTTAGCTAACATTTTAAAAATAACTTACATATAATAAAATGATAAATCCTAAGTGTACAGTTGAATGAGAGTTCGCAAATGCATACTTGCATATAACCTATGTCCCTATTCAGATATAGAGCATTTTCTCCACTGCAGGGAGTTTCCCTGGAGCACTTTTGTAGTCAGTCACCACCATTATAACCAGCTCCATCCAGAAACTACAAAGATCTCATCTCCTATAACATTCTCTGTTATATAACCAGGGATGAAAATCTTACTGTTTCCATAGTTTTCCTGACTAGAATGAATGGTCACCGCCAACGGGCTCCACTATTATTGGCTAAAGAGGATGGTATTACAGGCCATTTGTGATCCGTCCATCCCTTGGGGCTGAGGGAGGGATCTCTGATATCTGAACACTGCTGTGTGCCCAAATAAACAGGATTATTTTCTTAGGCAAGGAAAAAGGAAGGAAACAAGGAAGAAGAGCAAACTGGCTTATATATACTGTGGACATTTTGTTGGTCTGCATATCCAATCATTTAATGACTGACCTGTTCTCCCAGCTTCATTTCACTTTCAAATGTGCTAAATCCTTATTCAACTCAATGATTAAAATACTAAAAATATTACAAGCAAATGTAGAGACCACTCCTGAAGTTAACATACAAAAAAATAACCATGCTTATATTCGTCTGGACCTCAAATGTCCATTCCACCCACAAGGATATCCTGAGAAACTTTATTCAACACTTTTCCCTTATATTCTCCTGTGAATCACTGAGATTTTCTCAGCTACAGGGTTACTTCCATTTTAGGTTACACTTGATATTTTCATTATAACCAGTCATTGTTCTTCCCCCCCCTTTTTTTTTTAAGATTTTATTTTATTTGTACATACAAAACTGGGGTACAGGCCAGAGGCTCAGGGGCGGTGAGAGGCTTCACCAGAGACAGATTGGGGAGCAGAACAGGCAGATCAACGAAGTACACTGCTGAGGGGAGCAGCGGGCGGGTCAGGAGAGGTCTGCCACGCCATGTGGTCATCTCCAGGGCAAGTAGGGATCGAACTCATGCGGAAGTGGCTTTAGCTTTTCAGTGCAGTGCTTTAACTGCGCTACCAGGGAGGGCCTGTTCTTCCCTTTAAATTCTGCTAAAAGTTCTCTTTATCTGCTTGGTAAGATTACTGCTGATACAGTCCTCCTGGGTGTACCCCATTCCTTCTAGCCAGGCTGTTGTGTAATAAACATAAGTCCTAGTTAAGAAAACCTAGTTTTGAGGTTCTTTTTCTGTTTTGGGAATATGCAAATTCCTACCCACATTCTTCAAAGTCATAGTCTTAACTGGAAGACGAAATGTAAACACAAACACCATTCAGGGACCAAACCAAGTGACCCTAGGTTTATAATTCATTGCCATATGAATTATACAGCAGTCTGCAAATTTGATAGTCCAGGAAATCTCCTGAATGAATGTCTGATTTGTACATGTTCTAGCAGGATTCATCTCAGTATAAGTGAGAGAGAAATAAGATGCCTTCCTGACATCTAGAGGATTTGGATTATATGTTCTATCAATTGCATGTCTTTAAGACCAATGTGCTTTTACCTAATATATGAGGGATACATTATATTGTATCAGCCTATGTATGATGGCATATAGGGTTTAGTTAGGATTCTTTTTTAGTTTTTTAAATACACTTTAAATTACTCTTCTTGGGGCCTCCTTGGTGGTCTGGGAGTTAAGTCTCAGCACTACCACTGTGACAGCCCTCTGCAGCAGCCTGAGTTCAATCCTGGCCAGGGAGTTGACCCAAACGGCACAGCAGGCTTCTCCTGTCTCACCCAGTGCTCCCCTCAGCAGTGTATTTCAGTAGATCTGCCTGTTCTGTCCCCAGTCTGTCTCTGGTGAATCTCCTTTCACCCTCTGTACCTCTGGCCTGTACTCCAGTTCTTCTACAAAAAGAACTATAAAAAAATATTTCTATAAAAATTTTTTTTAAAAAGCTCTTTTTTAACAAAAAGATAAAAATAAACAAAAAACAAAAAAATGCAAACAATAGAGAGCAAAAAAAAAAAAAAAAAAAAACAAAAACAAAATACCAGTGACAGTTACTAAAAACTATATATATAGGAATTAAATGTGCCAGATGCAAAAGACAAAGACATAGCAACATCCTCAGAAGGCTGTGACACAGTCAGTAAGCTAGCACTCCTGACAGTCTTGAGCATGTGTCCGTGGTGACATGGCTTTCCATAAGGTGGAGGACTGCCCAACCCACCTGAAAAAGTGTTTCTGAGATTTATTTCAGCAGGAAAACTTCAATTCATGATTACTCTCCAACCTTAGAAACATACACATCAGCGTAATAGATTGGAACAGAGAATAGACTTCACAAAAAAGAATTCAACATAGGAAAATAGGAATAGATAATCTGAAGTTACACCAACAAGGAATTTATGATGGAGAATAATTTAAATGAAATATATTCCATGAAAAGTATAGCAATACTAGAAACTAAACACAAAAGTTACTTACTTTTACTATGATAAGTCTCGCCAGATTTTCACACCTCTGGTTATCATTTTCTGTACACTCTACTTCAAACAGAGTATTGCAATTTTCTAATATTATAGCCATTATCTTGTTGCAGAGATTTTGTTCTTTTATACCTTCAAGTCCAGGAGGCACACTAGAAATAAGAAGAAAAATTAAGAGGAATTACTTTCTCAAAATAAAATTGTCAGCACAATTTTTTCCCCCCCAAGGCCAGGCTTATATTTTGACAATTCCTAAATGATTATTTAGCTTTCTTATAAGGATTTTCAACAAGTTATATGGGCACACATATGATACAGTCATACCAACTGGTAAATTCAAAGGCATAAGTAAAGCGGTAGGTGCTGAATAAGAAAAGTATATGAAGAATGTATAGGTTAACATAGATATAACATAATGTATTGTATATTTTAGAAACTTACACACATGGTAACATAAATTTAAAAAAAAATGAAAAGGACTATTGTTATTAAGAAAGTCTAGGTAAAAGAAATTGCAGCCAGGCAGGGTAAGAGTTGCTCATGCCCTGTTTGAACAGGTGGACTAAATCATGTATTGGCACCCCAGTACAATAATTTGACCCTATACAAATACATCAGGAGGTCCCATAAGAGACAAAAAGTGTTAGATACTGACTGATGATTATCTCACAATTTCCTAGCGGGGGACAACCAAGAGTCTCATGCACAGCTGAAGTGTGACCCTCTGAATAGGCCTGGGCATGGCCAACCCAGAACAAGCCATGATGCTACTCTCCTCCTCTACCTCATGGATCTGGTCTTTAAACATCTCCTCCTAACTCCCCTTGGGGAACCATGTGAAATTCTCCTTTCCAGCAATGTTTCCCTTGTGCATGAGTCTCTATGATAGCCTGGTCTGTTCAGATCATTTGAACACAGCCAAGTCAGAACACACCCAAGCATACCAAGTATTCTCTGGGGAAATCTTTACCTAGAGGGCTGAGAAAAAATTCTTTAGGATCAGGGCTTATAACATTATGACACAATGAATGGATATTTATCAAGACAAAGCAAGACAGTCACATAAATAAAAGCAATACAGTCTTGAAAGACTTCTTAGATAATATAAAAGATGCAAAACTGAAAGGAAAATATGAGTACTTCTTAGAAACAATATTGCTCACCCTTGAAGCTGAGTGGTAAAAACATGGAAAATATTAAATTTTTCTCATTCTTTCGATTAAGCTTAAAATGTTCATAATGAAGAAAAGTTCTGTAAGCAGAACAGCCATAAGTAATGTATATCGTGGTATCAATGCTGAATTTATAAGGACATACAGGTAAGTTTAGGAGTCTTAAATGGATAAAGGTAATAAATGGAACTGCATTCAGAACCTGTATATTAAGTTGACGATCCATAAAGTTGATGACTGTTTATGCCAACTCAGATCATCAGTCAGGACACACCTAAGCAATCAGAGGTGCCTGGAGTACATTGCTTGGGACCCTCAGTCTCTGCACAGCAGAACCCTCCTGTCTTGCCCATTGATTCTCTTAGCAGTGGATTTCAGTGAATCCCCTAGCTCTTTTTTCCACTTAGTCTCTGATGAATTCTTTCACTTCTGTGCCTCTAGTCTATACCTGTCTTCCTCATGACAATGTGGAAAGCTTCAGTTTGGAAGAACATAAATATCTTCTTCAGTAACATATACAATTGACAACTGAGTAACAGAACTATGGGGAAAATCATATTAAAGCAGTAAGAATGTGAATAAAAGGAAGGAGACAAAGGACATAAGTTGAAAGATTCAGAAGATAATACCTAGATGGTGAAGAATCTTATGAAAGTTATTTCATTTAGTAACCAGTGATATGCACTAAAAAAAAGTAACTTTGAGGTACCATTTAATACTCATCTGTATTAGTTTCCTGTGGGTGCTCCAACAAATTACCACAAATATGGTGGCTTAAAACAGAAATTTCTTTCCACAGTTCTGGAAGCCAGAAGCATAAAATTATCACTGGGCAGAAATCAAGGTAACGGGAGGACCATACTCCCTACAGAAACTCTAACGAAGATCCTGTTTTTTGCTTTTCCAGTTCTGTGGCTGGCAGCAACCTCATCTGTGTCTCATCACTATAATCTTCAGCCAAGGCCAGCATCTTCAAACTTCTCTCTGCTGTTTCCATATGGCCTTTCCCGTGTATGTGCTTGCTCTCTCTATGCCTCCTCCTTCCAACCATACATGTAGCTGCATTTACTGCCTCCCAGATCATCCAGGATAATTTCCTTATCTCAGTATCTGTTTTAATTACATCTGCACTACCACCCTCCCCCCTCAAATAGGTCACATTTATAGACTTCAAGGATTATAACGTATTTCTAGGAGTCATTATTCAGCCTAGTACTCTATCAGTAGGATACACACCTTCAGGTGACTCCCAGTGAGTCACATCCCGTGTTCCCCTCAGGTGTCAATAGAACCTGTGACTTGCTGCTGACCAATAGTCTATGGCAAAGGTCATATATGTCATTCCTATGATGATGTTACTTTAACTTGAAACTTGGTCTCAGCAGGCCAGAGTAAGGCCTGAAGAGAGAAGCTGCCGTCTTCAGCAACAGCCTGGGAGAACCACATGGCAGGGGGCTAAGGTGGCCTTCAGGACTCCAGTTCACAGTTAGTAAGAAGTTGAGTTCCTTAGACATGCTGCTGCAAGGAAAGCTGTTCTGACAGCAACCTGACAGAGCCTGGAGTCAGGTTCTTTCCTAAACTAAAGAGTCCATATGAAAAGACAGCCCAGCTGACACCCTGATTTCAGCTTTGTGAGACCAACAGAGGAGAGGATCTAGTTAAAGTACACCTGGTCCCTTGACACACGGCTACTGGGCGAGCCAATTTTTATTATCTTATGTCACTAAGTTAATATTTGTTATACAACTAATTGAGAACTAATTTATAGTTTTGAGACAGCCTAGGTAAAAGAAATTGCAAGTGGGTAGGATAAGGGTTGTCCCATGTCCTGTTTGAACAGGTGGACAAAATCACAGACTGGCAAGCCTATCCAAACAATTTGGCCACCACACTGAACATGAGGCCCCATGAGAGACAAGAAGTGTTGATCTTGACTAATATTACTTCACAATTTCCTAGAGGGAGGTTAAGAGCCTGCATGCCCAGCTGGAATGTAACATGTCTGCCCACACCCAGGTATAGCACAGTCCAGAACAAAATCTGGTGCTGCTCTCCTTCCTGCCTTGAGTATCTACCCCCTACATATCTGTTTTCAACTCCAAGGATTTAGGCTAGCTTCTCCTTTCCTGTGCAGAGTCCCTTATGTATGAGTCAGGCTCTCTAGTAAATCTTTGTTTGGTGAAGTACACCTTGAGGTCTCTGGCACTTTCCCTAGGAGGCCAAGGACCTACTTTTTTGGCAGGGTCTTGTAACAGGCGAAGCCTAAAAGTGGATCCTCCTGTAGCAAACATCTAAAATGTGGATGACTTTGGAACTGGATAGTGTGAAGAGATTGGAAGAATTTGTATAGCATAACAGAGGAAGTCTAAAATATCTTGAACAGATTGTTAGAAATCTGGAATTTAAGGATACTGCTGGTGAGGGCTCAGAAGGATATGAAGAACCTGTTATCAGAGACTGGAAGAAGAGATCCTTATACTTTTGGCAGAAAGTTCAGCAAAAATTCACCTTGCAGTTATATGGGATGCAGAACTTGGAAGCAATAGGCTTGGACACAGTTCAAGAGATTTCCAAGCAAAGTTCTGAAAGAACTACCTGATTTCTTCATTCCATTTATATAGTAAGATGCAAGTGAGACAGAGAAAATAAGGTAAGAAATGTTAAATAAAAAGGAAAGGGGGGGTTGATTTTAAAAATTCTGACTACAGATGGTAAAAGTCATTAAAATCAAGCATTTCATTGTCAGGCAAATGAATTTGATAGAAAAGGTCAAGAATTTGACCATATAACCTTTTACTAAAACCTGGGAAAGATCAAAAGCTCAGATTACTCAGTAACACAAAGGTCCCTTTTCAGGTGATTAAGGGTGCATCTGAAAGACCTTTTCAATCAAACTAGAGGCCTCTAGAATTTAAAGGCATTTTCTCATGAGCCCCAACAAAAGTTATTTTGAAGGGATCTGAGGATGCGTCTTTTCTAATACAATGAATCCCAGTGAAATCCACAACTTCTGAGTTTTTGAGAAATCATCTTCTGCAGAAATGCTGCTAGTTAGGCATGAAAGGTACAGAAAGGGTATACAATGTAAGAAGACTGTGTAATCTATTAAAATAAGGAGCGAATGGTGAGTCTGTGAATGATGTCCTGCTTGAACTCTACCCCCTGATTTTTTAAGGGCTACACCTCTATCTCCATAGTGAAGAGATCTCAGGTGCAGGAGATTACTACTCTCGGTCTACTGTAAAACTGACCTTTTGAATGCAGGTTGCTGGGACATCGGGGTGGGGTTAAACTTGGAATGTAATGAACACATGTAGGCTCTGGCTCTCTTGCATTTCTGGCTTTTTCTTTTGGACCTGTACCTTCTTCGCTCAGTCAGTATTGCTAGTAAGACCTATCCACTAGTCATTCTTCTCTTTTAATCTCTCTCTCTCTCTTCCATCCTCTCCCCACCCCCATTTTCCTCCAAATAAACCTTTTTTATTTGTCTCTGTGTGTCCTGTTCTGACTTTTAGGTCTTATTCTGAGTAAGGATTCACGTGACTTCCCCCGTGGCTGTCTTGTAACAGAGCTCCACAATTCTATCGGTAAGAAGCATACTGATAAAACTGGTCAGCTGCAAACGTGCTTTAAAAAACAAACAAACAACAACAACAACAAAAAAAAACAACTGAAGGAGCACTCAGAATGCAGAGCCAAGAAACGAGAGTGCAAACTTGAAATTGTAACTGGGTGGTCCCTAGGAGAAGGGAAGTTCCAGGTTCACTGCCCCACCCAGGAGGGTGGAGCTGAGCAGAGAAAAAGGAGAAAGGAGAAGAGAGGAGGAGAGAAGGAAGCCAGATGGAGAAAAAAGATGGAGACCTAGGGAAGCCACATGGAGCAGCAAACATGTGATGAAGAAACCGGGTTTGTTTCCTGACCCTGGACTGGTTAAGGCAGATGTGGGTGAGATACCTGTAGGGAGGTGACTATGGCAGTGT